GGACCCCGCCCTCGAGGAGGTGGGTCCTGGGGGGACCTTGGGGTGGGCGGGGCCTTCCAGGAGGTGGGTGTGGGGCCTTCCCTTGGCTCCACCCCTCTGAACCCCTGGGCCTGCCCCCAGGCACTGGAGCTCCGCCCCTCCCTGACCTTCGTGCGTCCCCATTGGCTGGAGCTGTGCGGGGAGCGGCAGCGCCCCCTGCCGGCCGCGCCCTTCGCCGTTGGACCCCGCGCGTGACGTCATCGCGGTGATGTCATCACAGCCCCTCCCCCACTTCACACCCTTCTTCCGCCCCCACCCCGAGGGGAATTAAAGTGGTTTTGGGTAAAAAACCTGGTGATGTGTCATCATTTCAGGTGTTGCCCCTTTAAGGAGGGCCCCACTACAGGCATTGCCCCTTTTACAGAGGACCCCACTGACATTGCCCCTTTAAACGTTGTCCTTACCGTCCGTTGCCCATTTAAGAACCATTGCCGCTTTAAGGTGACCCCCCCTTTTGAACCGTTGCCGCCTTAAGGCCGTTGCCCCTTTAATGAGGACCCCTCTCGGGAGCCGTTGCCCCTTTAAGCGCTGTCCCCGCTTTAAGCCCCGCCTCCGCCCGGCTCTTAAAGCGGCCGCTCCCTTCGTGTGGGCCCCACCAGCCGCCATGTTGCTCCGCCGGGTCCCCGCCGCCGCTGTCGCGATATGCCGCGGGCTGGCGACAGGGCCCCGACAGGGGCGGCAGCTGCTGATGCGGCAGGTGGGAGGGAGGGGGATTTGAGGGGGAGGGAAACCCCGAAATGAGGGAGAACGGGGGGCGAGTGTCACTGGGCCCGCTGGGGTCAAGGGTCAAGGAAGGGGCAAAGGTCACGGTGGGCAGGTGGATGCACTGGGGGGGTTTAGGGGAGATCTGAGGACTTTTGGGGGAGTCTGAGGATCTGAGGGTTTTCGGGGGGGGGCTCTTGGGGAGTTTTGGGGTGTCTGAGACATTTGGAGGGGCTTTGAGGGTTTCTGGGGGGGGCTTGGGGGGTCTGAGGGATTTGGGGTGACCCTTTTCGGGGCGCAGCTGTTCGAATCCTCCTCCTGCACCTACACCTACGTCCTGGCCGACGGGGCCTCGGGCGACGCCGTCGTCATCGACCCCGTGCTGGAAACGGTGCCCCGGGACCTGCAGCTGCTGCGGGAGCTGCGCCTCAACCTCAGATACGCAGGTACGGACACGCCCTGGGGACACACCCGGGGGACACGCCCTGGGGACATGCCCTGGGGACACGCCCCCGGGGACACGCCCATGGAGACACACCCAGGGGACACGCCCTGGGGACACACCCATGGGGACACGCCCACGGGGACACACCCATCGAGCCACGCCCATGTCCCCCCCCCAGTGAACACCCACTGCCACGCCGACCACGTGACGGGCTCGGGGTCCCTGGTCCGGGCCCTCGGCGGCCGCAGCGTCATCTCCAGGGCCAGCGGGGCCAGGGCCGACCTCCTGCTCAGCGACGGAGACCACATCGAATTCGGGGACTTCGTGAGACTGGGGGGACACGAGGGGGGCACAGGGGGGGTCAGTGGCAAAGGGGGGGGCGGGTTTGGGTCCCCCTTTGGGAGAGGGGCATCTTTAGGTTCCTCCTGTGGCGTCCTCAGGGACGTTCTGGGGGGTTTGGGGTCCCAGGGGGGTTTTGGGTTCCCAGGGTGGGGTTTGGGGTCCCCCCTGATGGGATATTTTGTCCCCAGCAGGCCCTGCGGGTGGTGGCCACCCCCGGGCACACCCCCGGCTGTGTCACCCTGGTGCTGGACGATGACTCGATGGCCTTCACCGGGGACGCGCTGCTGGTGCGGGGCTGCGGCAGGACCGACTTCCAGGGGGGTCCGAGCCGGGAGCGGGGACGGGGAGGGACTGGGAGGGGATTGGGAGGGACTGGGTGGGGATGGGAGGGACTGGGAGGGGATTGGGAGGGGAATTGGAGGGACTGGGAGGAGATTGGGAGCGACTGGGAGGGGATTGGGAGGGACTGGGAGGGGATTGGGAAGGGAATGAAAGGGAATGGAAGAGACTGGGAGGGACTGGGAGGGACTGGGAGGGGACTGAGGGAGCAGTGGGAGGGGATAGGAAGGGCACTGGCGTGTACTGGGGATGGCGCTGGGAGGGACTGGGATGTCCCCATTACCATGGTGACAGTGATGGGGGGGTGATGCCCCTGCCCCGTTGCCATGGTGACAGTGGGGGGG